CATGTATCTGCTGTTATGGTGTCCATTCACCAGAATCACTGGAACTACTTTTCTAGCAAAAAGTAGTCCCTATACAAACAGTTGAGTGTGTGTTCGGTGGATTATTCAGAATGATGGGGATGCTCAGTGATGATATCTTGAAGGAACTTGACTCAAAGATGAACTGATTAGACTTTGGTGGTCAAAGGTCAAAGGTCAAGGTCAGTGTGACCTCACAAAATGCAGCAATTAAGAGAAACTTTCACACAAATGGTTAATATTACAGTGGAGAGACCAGGAGCAGCTGTATATACTGTTGATATAGTGTCAATAGAAATAGTAATACCCATAGGTAATGGCATCATCATTATCATCATTATAATGATCATAATTTTTAATGATAATAATAACAATAACAATAGTAGTAATAATAGATTGGGAGGTAACTTACACACACACATTTGTGCACAGGGTAAATAAATCGAAATAAATAAATGAAAACATTGCTTCTATGCAAAGAGAGAGAAAGAGAATCATTTCATGACCTTTTCATTTACCAATACGAGCTGCTTTTTATAGCATTTCAAATGAAAACACACATTAAACCTGCCAAACAATGTTCTGTAATGACGATTTAATAATGCTTTTACGGATTCATGTACACTGAATAACAACTATGTTAAAGAATAATTAATTCTGTTTGCTAAAATAAAAAAAAAGAAAAGATGGAAACTAACGAAGGAACCAAGGAATTCAAAAGTCGTCCTTGGTTTTTCAGTGACCACACATTTGGCGATGAATCGTCTGCTGATGTGAAAAACAGAACCAGCTACTTGCTCGGTTTTTCCCACTTTGGTCATTTAACGCTCAGGTGACTTTTACTCAGAACTGTATTGTCTGTAGAACTCGTTTCCATCAGTTTGTATTAGAGCCACGCACCATGCACTCATGTGTAACCGTGCAGTTACCAGCAATCCCATTTCACTTGTAGCGTCTTCAGAGAAGCTTCTTCTCTCTCAGGCCCAGAATACTAAACCCAGAGGTCCATCTGAAGAGCCGCTCCTCTCCGTCCACACTGACTGCAGCCGCTCGGGTGTGAACAAACCACACGGGCTGCAGTTTAAAATATCTTCCTTTTTAATCACAGCTCGTTCAGACGGGGTGTGAGTGCTGCAGGATTTACATAAATGCTGCCTGTTGCTGTCATTATCACCATTTTCCTTAAAAAAGAAAGAGTTGGAAATTTTGAGAAATTCGAGGCGTAGCACATAAGAGGATGTCTGCATATGTTACTGTCTGTGTCTCTGGTGATTTATATGGTTCAAAAGTGCTCTTCTCTGAGATTGAGTAAATCTCTTTATGGCCTGAAACCCTTAGAAAATGTTATTTTCTCAGTTTCCAGTGGAAATACAAGTGTTTTCTCTTCCTTCTCATATCAGTCGTCTTGTATCGTCCTTCTTCTCCTGTGCAGGACGGCCAGAATCCCTCCAACGGCAACGTGCCAGATAAAACCAGCCTCTACGACATTGGCGAGCTCGCCACCTCGTCTTTGATGGGTGAGACTGGACACACACACGCACACCGATTTAGTTCACGTTGTGTTGCATTATGAATCAAACATACGAGACTGGGAGAAAAACAAGCTGGGGATTTGAATTAGTAACCACAGGAGGTTAGAAATGTGATTTCCCTTTTCACTTATTCTCTCTCACTCACTCACTCACTCACTCACTCACTCACTCACACATACATACATACATATGCTATAACAGAAATACATTTCCTCCTCCATCTTTGACTCCGACTTCCTCCTCTTTTTTTTATTTTTTTTATCCTCTTTTCCCTTCCTGTGTCTGTCTGCCTCATCATGGCCGCTTCTCCCTGTCTGCGGGAGGTTAATTATCTGAGTTAATGTGTTATGCCTTGCTGAACTTTTCCCCGATGAAAGGTCCTTTATTACCCCGACAGCGTAATGATGAAAGCCTCATGAATATGTTTGATAAATGCAGACATCCAGGCGGACGGCTGAGCGGCTGACACCTGCTCCGGGAGTGACAAAATCACTCCAGTAAAAAAAAAAAATAAATAAATGAAAAAGCTTTTTAATGTTTACTCAGACTTAATCACTTGTCACTGACACTGAAGAGGAAAAGTTCTGTGGTCAATCACAAAGTGCAGCTGACAACCTAACAGCTCAAATCAGATTGAAGTATGCAAATTCAAATGTTATTATACAAATTGGATCATAATTTTAAAAAAAGAACATCACGCACTCGTTGCTGAATTTATTCTTTTGAAAAATGATGTTTGGCAGATGAATCGAGCTGATGTGATTGTAGCGGCTCCGAGAAACTGAAATGTTCATTAGATTTCACAAATGAAATCGTTATTGGACCAAACGAAGGAGAAATGGGGTGATGACAGTTTTATTCCTACAGCTGAATAGTGGGATTAACATGCAAAGCTTGTCCTGAGGAAGAGGTGACGTGACAGGTAAATAACAATGGTCATAAATCAAATGGGTTTGTGGTAGTTAGAGAGTGTGAATGTGTTACATATCATGACAATTTGATTATTTTATTCCCCATGTAAAATTTCTAATTTTTTTTTACTAGTATTCGCCATTTTTTTTATGTTTCAAATGCTTTATTATTCAAACCATTTTCCATTGCATCTTGTTAAAACTATTAAACATCGAAAATGGAGGAAACAATCATAACTTTTGAATTAAGATACATAAAATATGGACAATACATACAATAAAAAAACACAAACAAAAATGGTTTCAAAAAAAAAGAAGAAAAAAAAAGCACAAAACCAAACTATATATACGACAGATGTTAAAGGGAAATATTATATAATAACGGTCATTGTTTGTTTAAGTTTAGGAAAAGATGCTGATTTGGCTTAAAATAAGTACTTCCTCAACATTAGACGATCTTTGTTGTCATGGTTACAGTAACAATGACGTGGTTTGTCGAACGGTCACGCGCGAACCGTCTGTTTTTACAAGTTGACTGGCTCTGGTCATTTCATTAAACTCGTAACTCCCTCGTCGCCGTGGCAACGAGATAAACAAGTCTGAGAAACCCGATGATTTCTTACAGTAACCGGAGAAATAATTTAAGAGAGAGATAACCGGAGAAAGTGAGACGATGTGTTGACAAGCTCGTCGCCTCCCCCTCGACTTCATCCACAACCGCACCAGATGTTTTTCCACCTGCTGGTTTCTGTTTCAGTCAGACTTCTGATGAGGATCGATACCAAAGAATTACATCACAGCCATTAACTTTTACACGTTTTAATTTTATTTGTGACAGATTGGTGTCACTACTGCAAGTCTCCACACAGAGAGCTCTACACTCACCCCTACCAAAACAGGTTCAATTAAATTAAATTCAACTCAGTTCAGGTCAGTTCAATTCAGTCAATTCAATTCAATAAACTTTATTTGTTCCCAGAGGTCAATTTAAATGGCACATAGTCTAGATGTTAAAAGCACACAAAAACACATGTCTACACATCAGGAAAATGACAATGACACAAAGAAACATCAGTGCAAAACCAATCCTGTGATATTATAATGACAGTAACAACAACAACATGAGAGTGGGAGAATGACATCACTAGTGCAAGTAAATAACTGTAAACATTGGCTGTATGACAGAGAGTCCTAGTGCAATAAAAGCTTATGTTACATATACAACACCTCTACAGTATAGTGTGCATATTGGCATATGAAGGTGTGTGAACACCAGCAAAAGTCCAAGAGAACAGAACATAACTACAGTATTATTAATTCATTATTCCCCTTAACCATCCGTGTAGTTGAGCCCCGTCGTTTCCCTCGTATCTAAACTGCAGTATATGATTTTCTTTCCCCAAGTTGTGACGTTACACAGGAAGGCAAATCTGTTTGAACTTCATAATGGAAGTGTTTCCAGGGGACACTAAAGAGTGATGAACCTGGCTGTTGTTCAATGCTTTTAACTTCAAAAGTCAGTGCGTCCACACCGGGTCCATCGCTTTTTAGTGTCCCCCTGGAAACGCTTCTGTTGTGTTGTGAGTATTTGCAGCACGTGTTGTCAAATTGATGAAGATGTTTTTCTGAATTTGTTTGTGTGTTTTTTTCTTTTTGTCTTTAAGTTGCAGTGCGTTGAGCTCTCAGGGCCACCGTACATTTACTTTTGGTTCAGTCTCACTCATTTTGTGGCACAACAGGAAGCTAATGTAGCTTATATTTCCCTCAGGAGTTCATAGAGACCAAGTAAAGAGCTAAAAGGAGACTTAATATGGTCGGCAAGATGATGGTTCTTCAGCCACGAATGGTGCACAGATATTCCTTTTGAGGATGCATAGAGTTAAAACAGGTTAAAATTTATGCTACCATCCAACTATGCAAACACAGACAACACAAATCTGACATTTTGGCAAACAAAATGTCCTTAACAACACAGTGTGCATCAGCCTCCTCAGGAGCTTGGCAGTGCCTTAAATGCTGTTTGTTAGCTTCCAGATATCTTGCTGCTGCCCACTGCACTCACTTTAAACACATTACTATCACATGGGATGTTAACGCCACCTGAATGTGATTTGCTCCTTTTCACACTGCGGCGTGGACAGTAAACCCAAAATACGCACATCTTGGAAAAACAAATGGGATTTTCCCGCTGCGTTTGCACAACCTAAACAGATGCGACGCAGCCTCCTCGCCATCAACAAGCAGCCAGAACAGAGACTCATAACAGAGTTGTCGCAGTGTGCAAAGCAGTAGGTGTTACAGTTCATAACAAAACACAGGCTGTTGAGCTCAAATGAAAATAACACATCATGAGGTTTTTCTCAGTTTCAATTAGTCCAGGCGGCCAACTTCCGCAGCTCCCTTCCTCTGCATGAATTTCTCACTCTAATATTCTTCCTTCCTTCCTCTGTTCCTTGTTTTTCTCCTCCGTCCTCCTCACTTCCACCGTCTTGACATTTTTTTGCCCTTTTCTTCCTCATAGCTAATTTCTTACGTTAGCCTTTATTCCTCATTCTGTCTTTCCACCTTTTGACTTTTCAACCTTTTCCTTTTTTTTGCCCTTTTTACATCATTTAATTTTCCTGTTCTGCGGTGTGACCTAGGTTTGCGGTCACTTTCATTTCAACTCTTCATTTCCCAAGACCTTTCTACCCTCGTCTCTTGTGATTAAAGACAATGATGGCAGGGATGGCCCAGTGATTCTGTGGGTTATGAATATCATATTACTGCAGAGATAGCAACGGTGCTAAAATGCTAATTTCTGGGTTCTGCAGCACTCTATCGTTGGAATATGAAGCTATGTTTTATTTTATAAACAATATGCAATTTATTTTGAATCTTTGCAGATACCTCCATTCAATTTAATGCATTAATGATTTGAGTGACTCTGGATATATAAGTCATGTGCTGCGTTCTTAAATTGACAGTTTTGACATTGGCATATTTTATTAAAGAGAGCGTTTCACTCCTGTCTTCCAGCAGCTGCACTCGCTTCCTGTTAAACACCGTATTGATTTCAAGATTCTGCTTCTCACTTTTAAGTCACATCACAACCTCACATCTCCATATCTCTCTGATCTACACCCAATCTGTACACCTGTACTCTCAATCTTCCTCTCCCACTAATCTCACTGCACCTCCTGCCCGTCTGACCACCGTGTTGCCCCTCGACTCTGGACCTCACTTCCACAAAACATCCGTAATATTGATTCTCTTCCTATTTTCAAACCCCCCCCAACAGTGTTTAATCATATTTACTTTATGCAATTATATTTGTTCTGATTCATTTAGCATTTCATGCCATGTACTTGCATTTTACCTTTTGCTGTTTGCTGTAAGGTGTAGTAGTAGTTTACTTTGTCTGTATTGTGGTTTGTCATATTGTCTCTTTAGGAGGAAACCGTCACTAATGCTGACGTCCTTCCTCAGGGATTGAAGCTGTTGTTTTTCTAATTTTGATAATCTAACCTGTGACAACGCATTAACTGAGGATGTAAGGGCCACTATTGTTAGTAGTAGTTGTTAAATGTGTTTAAATGTGCCGAATTTTATTTTTGTAAAGGTAAACATCCTGTTTAAAGAGCCATTTTTATATTGCTAAGTAAAACAATATTTTCAAACACACCTGTTTCAGCTTTCATATGCCCCCATATCCTCCTGTATTTACTGATGCACAGTACATCTTTTCATGACCTCCTCCATGGTTATTGTCATAAAAGTTAATAACTCACTGGGATTTTCTTTCTGACACATGCACACATCATGAACTGTCTTGTATCACGGGATATAATCATGTCTGGAAAATCAGACAAATGTTTTGCAGGAGCATTTAAAAAAAATCAAAACATGCATTTGGATTTTTACTTATTAGTGATTCTACTGGACACCGACATGTTTTTTGTTTAACATCAAAACACACGAGTCACAGAGGGGCTGCTGCTGTTGCTGTTCGTTGTCGTCCTTTGCTCTTCAGTCCACTGCCAGTTTTCCATGGACCTTGAAGCTGTACAGGCAGGAGTGGTCAGGGTGGCCCCAGTTGCTCTCGACGTACAGCTTCACGTGGTTGAAGACGCCTTGTTTGTTATCCTGAGAGAAGAGAAACGGGGGGAGAGAGAGTCAGTTGTGATGCTCAAAAATGAGTGACAGGGATATGGTGAATACAACAAGGAAGGCAAACCGTAACCCTCGTAATGTGTTTGATGACATGGTGTAATACTCGCAGGTATTTTGAAAGTCTGTACAGGGTCCCCGTCCTGATCATAAAGAAAGGTTCCTAGGTTGATTTCCTCGTCGCCCAGATTCTCCATGGCCTGATAGAAAGAAAGAGACGGACGTCCAGTTGAACACCTTGTTCTTCTCCATGTGACCGGATGTCTGCAGTGTTAACGGTGAAACGTTTGTGAACTTACGTAGACTGAAAACTCCCTCGGGGCGGTGGTAACGGTGCCAGTTGGTGACAAGTTCTTTGAGATGTGACCAAGTGTCACATGGCTGATGGTGACTCGGTGGGAGAGGGCGATGAACAAATGTCCCCGCCCGCCCGCAAATGCCCAGCAGCGACCCGGAAGCAGAGGCGAGTGTCCCTGAGGAGAGAGAGTGAAAAGCAAGTGTGTTGCATGTATAAAAATAATAACATCATGTAGTCCCACCACATAGCAGTGTTTCTCTGTGCGTGTAGTTCCCACCTGAAGGACAGTCTGCGGGGGGACGGGCTGCTGCCTTAAGGGTATTCCAAAAAACTTCATGGACGTCTCTTTGGTCTGGAACGATTTTGACGACAGATGAGGAAACACTTTTGCTCCTGCACACAACGACAACGACACACGAAAAGAGAGTGAGAAAACAATTTGAAATTTAAAAAGTGTGACGTGTGAATTACAATCTGGCAGATGAAGACGATGAAGATGATTTTAGATGTCTCACCCAACGACTCGAGAGCAAAGTTGGCTAGAGTGTCTGCCGCTGGGTGGAGGTAGTTCATCTGCTTCTTTAACCCCAGCAGCTCGTCCTGCAGCTCTCGCACCTGCCTCTCCATCTCTTCGCATTGTGCAGCTGGGTCCTGCAAATGATAAGAACTTAATTGAACGTTGGATATTGACATGCCTACGATAATGTGCGTTTGACACTGCAGATGAGAATATCTTTGGACTCTTGATTGTATTTTTTGGAGCTGCTTTTGTGGGTCATACCGGGGTCTTCAGAAGACGTGAGACAGGTGATTCGGAGAGTCCTGCATCCACAAAGTTGCTGCTCAGCATAAGAGTCAAGAATGCTAATCCTGATCATCGGAGAGAGACAAAGCATGAGATCAGTGGCTCATAAATTTACTTTTCCACAACCTAAAACACTGACAATTTGTGTCCATGTACTGGGTTGCAATCCAAAGAGAGACAACTCTACAAAATCCACAAGCCGCACAAGATTTAACTGTTTGTGGAAGGAGAGATCACTTACCTAAACACAGGGAGAGTATAAGGAAGACAAAGCGGCGGTTGCCATTCCCGTTGACGGGGGTCTCTCTTCCTTCGGGCTGAGAACGGCCAAGAGCCTTACGACTTAGGAAAATCCTGGATGTAAGGAAAATGAGAAAAGAGTGAGAGCTGTGGAGATGTATGAAGAAGAACAGCTGACAGATACAGCAAGACAGTGACACACACACAAATACATACACAGACACTGCGGCTTACCGATACACCGTCTCCCTGTAGGTAACCGATGATTCTCCATTATTGTTGTAGTATCTGGAGGTTTCAAGTCGGATGCTTCTTCGTGACATGACTGTGAAACGGTTTTACATGAGTATATGAGCTGTTCTTTTTTTGTCTGATGTCAATTTTCAAACATAATCTCACACATAACTGACTCATTAATGTGTAAGGATTTGAATCTTCCTCAATCCCTCCCCAAGGTTAATGAAGACCAATTTTCAGATCTGAAAATAACCTTTATCTTCCGTTTTACTCATCGCAGTGTCCACTTTTTATTTCGGCACAGAAAAGTTAAGTCGCTGAATAAGTAACTGAACAATTATAAAGTTGTGTTTTTTTACTTGATTAAAATTAAAATCATCTTTTTAAAAACAAAGTAAAAATATGAAAAAAAATAATTTCTGTGTCCTTTTCATTAGTTGACATTTAGGGGTTAGGGTTTGGAGCAGCCACCCTCCAATTGAAAGTACACTAAATTATTATTTTATATATTTTAAGCTTACACCTATCTCAAATATTATTTTGGGTTTCTATTGACAATAGTAGGAGCTTAGTAAACATCTAAGATTACCATACTTAAATGATTCTTCAATGCTTTTCATTGTTTTTTGTTTCAGGGACAGCAGTATTACTACATTACATATAAAAAGTTTTGGTACTCTGCTGACTGAAAGTGTTTTCTTCAGATCTCTGACAGAAACAATTACTTACTTTCTCAGCAGATCAACACGTCGGTCGTTTGTAGCAGTTGAGAGTTAGTTTGTTTCTAAAGCAGTGAAATCTAAAACGCACGAGATGTGATTGTTGCGTCAACGTTCTATTCGCGTCATAAGTCAAACCGTGGAACTACAAGCCGAACGTTACACACGCGCGTAACGTGTGCGCGCGCATTCACGTTTATAAACGTAACCTGGTTCGTGGTTCTGTGTCAGATTATTTGTTAAAATAAATTTTAAAATGATATAAGAGGCAGATAAATGTACCAAAACAACATAAAAAAGCAATGCATGAGAAAATAAAACAAATACAAGAAGAAAAAAAAAACCAAACACATCTAATACACAAAACTTAGCACATTGCCACCACTGTGAAGAAAAAAACCCTTTCCTTTTACACCCTTCATGTTCCCAGTCAGCAAACAACTGAATAAAGTTTCCCGGTGTACACAAGAGCCAACAAAAAAAAAGCTAGCAATACACCAGCAAGTGATAGCAACATTTGCCAACAAGTTAGCTAACATTATCATGCTACTGTAGCCGGTCACTAATGAAAACATACGTGTAATATTATGAAGGATCAAGTTACTTACACATTGAGGAGAAGAAAAGCCAGTTCAGAGTGAAGCTGGAGCCGTTTAGCAGCTCTCCATCTCGGTAAAGTCAGACCAGTCTGGGCTCCATGGTCGGCCTGGGAAAGAAGTTCAGCCTCGGACTTGACACTGATGGAGTCGGTAAAAACTTTAAAAACTTTAAGGATGATAATCCATTTGTTTTGGCTTCCTGCAGCTCGTTTTTTCATTTGCAGCGCGTTTCCGTTGTTGTGTTTGTTTTTCGTATTTTCATATGTGTTTTTGAATCTGCATCGTTTCTGAATTTGCAGCTTGCTTCTCCTCCTGTCATGAAGGGTTCTTTGATACTTGTACAAATGACAAAATATTGTAAAACAATGTCAGCATGCACCATGTAGATGACTGACCAATCTGTTTTGAGTTTATTAAATACCTGCAGTGAATCCTGAGGCACAGCAGGGTCATTTTTTATTAGAATCTCCTCTAGATACACCAGAAGGATTGCTCAGGATCTAATGTTAATAAATGTTCTGTTCTCTTCTACACATCTAAAATGTCTTCTGTTAAACACAAACAGTGCAGGTTGTTTTGGAGTAAAGCAGAGTAAACTAACCTCCATCAGAGCTGTCTAAAAACATTTTATTTCAGAAGCTAAAAGTTTAAATCTGTGTCCTCTGGAGAGTTTCCTCTGTCCTGTCAAGTTCAGCGCTGCAGAAGTGCTGTCAGTAATAAAGTAGAAAATGTGAAATTCTGTCCAAAATCACCTTGGGTCCTGTTGCACTCTCATTTTCAGTCTCCTCCAATTTGTTTTCTGTGAAGCTCTATATCAGCAGGCAGCAGCAGACATGCTTTTTTTCATGGTTCAGGTTGTGCAAATCAAGAGTAAATGTTCGCTTCCAAAGACTGAATTATGCTAAAAAAGTAGAATTTCCTCTGAAGTATAACCATCTCATGATTCAGTGTGTCACCTTTTTCCATTTCCGTATCCTGCTGTCTTTTGCTGTGGCATTTTTTGCCCTTCTCTTCCTTTCTACTGTACGCCATTTCATGCTTTACCTTTTCCTGGAATTATCTTCCTCTTTCCTCTGCTACCACACTCACTGTATGTCTGGTCTAGTCTCTATATCTAATCCACTTTATCAAAATATATCCCTCCTTTTCCTGCCTTTTATTTAGGTCTGGTGGCCACGATAAAGGAGCATATCACCAAGCCGACAGCAATGGCCCAGGGGCGAGTTGCTCACCTGATTGAGTGGAAGGGTTGGGGTGGAGGCGGCGAGGCCGGGGGACGTGGGGGCGGCTGGAGCGGGGCCTGCGGTAAAGGAGGAGGCTGGGGGGGGATGGGAGCCGAGCTGCAAGAGGATGAACAATTCTACTCCCAAATGACGGATGAGATCAAGGAGGCTCGCTTTGCTGCAGGTGAGACAGATGCGTTGAGTTTAATCCAAGAAAAACAAGATGTGGTGAGGGGAGATGAAGTGACGCTCAAATCCCTCCAGGCATTGTTTTTATTTAATTGGCCCGTGCAGAGGGAGCGTCTACAGAAATCAATAGCCCTTAAGACTTCCCATGACAGTGACTCAAATGTAGTGCACTTATTTGATTTCCCGTTGTTTGTGATGGTGGTACACGTGGTGAAAAACAGCTTCAACTTCCAAGAAAAGCACCAGGAAATTGTTTGTGTGCCGTTTGTTTCACAGGAGTGGCGGAGCAGTTCGCCCTCGCTGAGGCGGCCATGGATGTGTGGTCAATGAACGACAACTTAGAGCAGCCCTCCACCAGTTTACAAGGTAGGTCATGTGACCTGCTCTGTGTGAACTATGAACAAGGTGACATCATTAAAAAACCAAAGCTTTTCTGCTGAATTCGCCTCTGTCTGGGTTTGACTGACTGTAATCTCAAAGTCCTTATTTTACCCAGAAGCCTTTTCTTTTATGTTGATGATGGAGACAAATTAAAACAGATTACAGAATTAATTCCTGAGTCACAATATTATGCAAATATAATGTCTCAAAGCGTCACAGAGCAGATCCCCAATAATTAAGCAGCCCCATTTAAGTGGATGAAGGTCTGCTGGCAAACATTTATTTAGCTTGTTTATTTGGATCAAAGGAGTGAACAAGTTTGATGACATCACCATTTTGCCTCAGATTTTAGCCATCCTATGATGACGGCCTGTTCAACACTTGTGTACTGTACAAACATTCAGGGTCTCCAGAGGAAGAATCCTGTTGACTTTCATCACGCATCACTAACGAGTCTAAAATATCCACATCCAACATTTGGGCCCATATAGCATGTTAGTATGCTAATGCTAGCATGTTAACATGCTGTTACTCTGCTCAGTATATACAACTCAGTGCTGTGTATACATATATACATCTTTTTTTAATGTCTACGCCCCCTGGAGACAAATAAAGTTTCTTGAATTGAATAGAATAGAATAGGCACCACACCGCACCAGAAACCACTGGAGTACTGGGTCCTCAAGCAAAGGCCTGTATCATGAATAAAAACACTGAATGATAAATAAATAATAATATAAATCTAGCAGCAGCTGGTTCACAGTAATGGGATCTTTTTTTTTTTTTTAACCAATGCATCAGTAGTAGCCTATATATCTGCCTCTACAACCTGAGAGGCCCCAGGTGTCACTGTTTTCCTTTGTGTGGATCAAATCATTTTATTAGTGTCTTCAAGAAGCTGATACTGTTATTATCCCTCCTCAGCAGCACAGAGCCACTTCCTGTCTCAGTTCCTGCTGGACGGCGGAAGCGTCGGCATCCCCCAGCACCTGTACAGCATCCACGCCCAGACGTATGGCGGCAACAACAGGGCGGCCAGCCTGGTCCCTGTGCCGCGGGTTGACTCCATTTCCCCAACGTCAACCTATCAGCAGGACAGAGATCGTCCCTTAGAGGACAGAAGCACTGTGACTGCGGAGGCTGCTGTCCGACACGTAGACAGCAGCTCGCTATCCGAGGATGATGTTTTTTATAACTAGGCTTAAGGGCAAAACAAGCCAGCAATCTTGATGGCAATCTCTTACAAAGAGCCTCACCGAGAGGACTTGAGTCTCAACCACCAGCTGTGACTGATACAAAAAAGAAATAACCGCGGATATCTGGAGAAAACTCCTCAAATGGCTTCGTGTGAATGAGTTTGAGAGCCTGGTCGTCGGGTACAAAGACTCCAAATAGTATTTTCTCCTCGGTTGAGACGTGTACTTTTTGTGAATGTAAATAGTTCCACAGTTACATTTTAATTTTTTATTCAATGTACATTTAACACTTTCATATAATATGTAGAACTCAACTGTGAACAGTCAAGCTGGTGTAAATATCTTGTTATAAAACATCAGTTTTAATATATGTGCTGTATAACGCTGTCCACTTCTATTCTGATCCCTTTATCTTTCACATGGACGGACTTGAACAGAAGAATCTGGTGATGGAACAAATCACCTGAAGTCCAACCTGCAGAGGAGATATCACCAAAGAAATTGAAAATGTGTCTCCTTTGAGATCTCACATCTGAGACTGTTATGAAGAAAAGCGTTCATCCAATTATCCGAGTCCCAGCCGTGATTAGCTATTATTCACACTCTCTTGTCTGAGAGCGACGGGAGCAGGGGAGCGGTGCAGAGAAAAAAGATGAGTGCAGGAAAAACAGAACATGGCGGCAACGCATGTGGTCGGTGTGTATTTCTGCATGCATGTCAGAACTGTGTGTGAGAGTCAGGGGTAGTTGGAGACTGGAGGTGTTAATGTTACCTGTCATGGTGTTCTTTCAGCGCACGGCTTACACAGAGCAGAGCTGCATTGTGCGGCGCACTGAGCCTGTTTATCTGTTGTTATCTCAGTGCGACTGTGAATGGTGTTCAACGGATGTGGACAAAACAGAACAAAAGGCTGTGCACGGCTGGAACGATCGCAACCGTCATAACAACAAAAACCCAACTGACTTGAGGTGTAATTAGTTTCCTGGTGTAACAGCAGTGTCTGACAGTGAACTGGACAGTTTCCCTCCGACGAGCTGTAAGTGATTGTAGTGTTGTGTCTCGGTTGGTCTATAGGTTTATGGATTAGAGAAATACTGTAGGTGCATAGAAGCAAAATGATTGGTTCATCAAAATCAATATTGACTGAAGAGTCTAGAAACAACAGGAAACCAGCAACTGCACACAATTATGTTTTCAGTTGACTTTTAATTTCCTTAGAAAATGATCTGCACACACTTAAATTGTCTTCGACTACAATCCCCCTGAAAGATTTCCTTCAAGACTAATTCCAGTTTAAAACTTGGCTTTTATTCTTGTAAGTCTGCCCTCGTGTTGTCACAGCGTACAGAGATCTCAGCAATTACTTCAGTGAGTACAGTGTTTTTTATAATTGACAGACATGAAATGAATGAAAACAAGATCTTTTAAAATTTCTCCAATTGACCAACAATCAAGGTCAGAGGAAGGCGAACTTTTATTTTTAATTGATGGACAGGATGTGTCAAACTGTTTTTTTTAGACAAAGAAAACCATGTGGATATTTAATTTCATCTGTGATTTGTTTTCTTTTGGCAGGTTCATCGAACGACACAAATTACTCTTTTAAAAAAAGAATATTTATTTTTGATTTGTGATGTTTATTTATGATGAACCATTTTCCTTGTTTTTAATAATCACACCAGAAAAGCACTAACAATAATGTGGACTGCAATCAAGATTTAATTAAGATGCACAGGAACCTCGTTACCATGGCAACTCTTGCCATATTCCTGATGTGGCTGTGAGAAATCACCCAGCACTTTATGCTGTGTTAAGTTGTGTGCTCTATGTGTAAAATGTTTATGTATATTCTTCTGTTCGTAGGAAAATAGTGCAGAGAAGTGCATTATGGTACGCCACAGTGTCTTTTCTCAACGCTGCCACCAGGGGGTGCCAAAGTCAGAAATGTTCAAATTCAACACAGCAGCTTTAATGTACGACTCCGTTCACCTTTAAACACAATTGTAGGCTGAAATGCTGCAGTTGAGGGAGGCGCCACCCGCCTGCATCACCACAAGATGCCGATGCCAAAAACAGGATGTAGGTGTGATGGATATCGCAAGGAAGTCTCAGCTGTCAACAACATTATCTTCATAGTTCATTCGATTCGTACAGACATGAATGGAAACATGTTTCTGCATGGAAGGTAAAAAGTCAATCTCAAACTTACTATATTATTACTCATTGTAGTTAAGCCTGCTGATTTGTCCCGTTTATCAACACAGGCAGCAGCTGGAGCAACAGCTGTCCCTGTGACACACGGCTCTCTGAGGCAATTATATGTTTAAAACCCTTAATGCGCCATCGCCATAATTTGTTTCAAAGAGTCACAGCTGAACACAAAGCCATGTTTTCAGATTCAATGTGACTTACACTTCTCAAATATATCATTCTCTCAGATTTCCCTCACAAATAAACATTCGCAAATCTGCTCAGAAGTCATGGAAAACATATTTGTATCTCCTGAGCTTCTTCAGTATCAAAACAACAGATGCCTGTACATTCATGCGTACATTGCAAACAGGAACTAATGGCTAATTCGACTTTAAATGGAGCCAATTTACCAAAATGTAAACAAATACAGGCTTTAAAAATGGGACAGAAGTTGTCTGACATCACACTTTCTGTTTACTTCCCCTAAAGTCTGCAGTTCCAAAACCTAGACCATGATTACTGTGTCTCCCAAAGAATAATAAGTGTTAAAAAATCCATTAATATAAACGTTATCCATGTTTCCCTGTCAATATTTTATTTAACATTTCCAGATAATTACAAAGTGTGCTTTAGCAGTAAACGCACACCAGCAGGTTTTTATTGTGTTAATTAGTAAACAGATAATTTCACAGGCTTTTGTTTTCATCCTCACTGGAGATCATTGTGGGCAGACACAGTTAATGTTGCTGTGTCACTGATTGAGGCTGTGTACTTTCTCCTCAGTTACGTGTTCCTGCTAATTACAATAAAAAAAAAATAAAAAAAAGGCAAGACAATAAGCTCTGATAAATGATTATTACAGGAGCCTGTGTGCAAATATTGAAGTGATATCATTATTAGAGGCTTGTGTTACAAGCTAATCAGACAGAGATGGATTCATGCATGCTTAAAAAAAAAGGTCAAAGGATGTGCTTATTTCCTGTGTGTCACTGCTTAGATTTCTGCAGCCAAGTCCTCCAATATGTTCTTCATCTGGAGGAGAAAATAGAAAAAGAGAGGGAGGAAGGGGAGAAAGAAATTGCTTTGAATTCATAAGTATCCATTTTGCCTCCCAACCCCTGCATGATATTAACAAATCCATACAGGGACGTGGTCTTGTTTGCAAAGTGTGTGTGTGTGTGTGGACGAGACAAAATCAGGCTGTATGCATAATTAAGATGTCAGTAAAGATTATAGTGAGCACGCACATAACACACAAACGCTCATTACCTCTGGCCATGTGATGAGTCCAACCAACCGTCCTCTCTCTGTGACAAATAAAGTCTGCGCTCCAACTACAATCAGGATATTTAGGGCCTGCAAGGACACAGAGGAAAATGGATCGGAAGTAACAAATTGCTTATCGTTTTGGGAAATATGCTTTATTTCTGCAAGTCAGACGAGAAGATTGATTCTCTTCTCTTCTCTGTTACATGAGGAGATTGATTGATTGTCCTGTTAAATGAGGGCATAAAATAACCCAAAAAAATAAGTGAAGAAAGACATTGTCTGCCCATCTGCCAGCTATAATAGTCCCCCAGCATAACTGATTAATGTCGCTGTGTGATTGTCACAAATGAGGAATGTTTTTTTATTGTATTTATGTTTTCATATTTATGTACTTTTGTCGCACTTTTTTAATTTTCATATTTATTGATATAGTATTAGTGTAGACGGACCGCTGCTCACTTGTTTTTAATTTGCATTCGTGTTGTGACTTTTGTATTCCTGATGTGGCTTTTGTATTTGTGTTGTGGCTTTTGTATTTGTGTTGTGGCTTTTGTATTTGTGATGTGGCTTTTGCGTTCATGTGGCTTTTGTATTCCTCTTGTCGTACATAGACAGAAATGGAAAAGCGACTTCTTGCAGTGTTAGTGAGAGTAATGGGCTGTAAGTGTTTTGTGATAAACAACAATTATCCAGTTATTTTTTTTCTCTGTCTGTGCATGAAACAAAATGAGTTTTATTGTTGTTGGTAGCTGCTTACCCCTACTTCTTCTGTTTATGGTAAGCTAGGCTAATTGCCTCTATGCTTCAGTGTTATACTTAATGCACAAACATGACAGTTGCATCAATCTCCTCGTCTAAGTCTCAGAAAGAAAACAGATAGGAGTATTTCCCAAAGGGTCAAACTATTCCTTTTAACTGATCCAACCGAATGACATTTCCTACCTCCTGGACCGTGTTGTGAGGTGATAACAGGACAGAGGTTGGGTGAATGCAGCAGACCTCATCCAGATGTTTCTCCAGAGTCTGAAGAGCAGCACAAACAGATTCATATTTGTGTGAGGTTTCTGTCAGATGAAATCTTTTCATGTGAGGACACTGAGTATGACTTGAGAAACTGTGATTCACAGTTAAAACTGATTTCACACCTTCCTCAGTGTATGCCTGGGGCGTCTCATCAATCTGTTTTCTATTCTCCTCAAGTATTTGTCTGTCACCGCACCATGTTTTAAAATGGATGTGTGGTGTCATAAAATTAGCCATTTTTCTGTCTGTACATCCTGCTCCCATCCTCTTTTTGGAGCTGTTCCACATTCAGTCAGCGTCAAAACGGATTGTAAAGACATGTCCTGCCTTTTAAACATCATCAGACATTTCACTCGTCCACCTCCCTCTGAACTCTGCAGCTACCCGTCTGACTCCATCCAGTCTTTTACCTCAGTCTGAGAGTGACGCAGGAACATCAGCAGCTCCGATCGACGAACAAACCCCAGTAATATCTGCGTCTCTTCAACAGAGGAGAGAAGAGAGAAAAATCAATTTCT